TTTTTTTTTTTTATATTTACGTTTTTATTTTTCAATAAAGTATTGGGATGTGGGGTACAGAAGAGAAAAAAGGGAGGGGAGGGGGGTGGGGTACATCACAAAGTCGTTCAATATTTCACACAGCTGGTTACACGTTACATACAACATGTCGGTGATTCTCAAATTCTGTCTATGGTGACGACTAGGGAAGATGAGACTTTGGCCCCGGGGAGTGTAAGGGAAGGATCAATAACCGGGAGTGTTGACATGTCTTGTCAAACTTTGTTGAAATATACCGGATGGGGTGTCACTTAAGCGCGTGTTGTCAGTGTGTGTCATCTACCCTGGGGAAAATTCGAGCATGTTTTGCACGGCTGTGGGTCCCTATATATCTATATCAGAGCGGAGCCCCCGTTCAGAACTGACAGCTGGTTGTTGCGGATAGGAAGAGGTTGCTCTGTTCTAGATATTGACCTATGGTGCTCTAAGAAGGGCTTGGTCTATGCAGTCTTGGGTAGGTTGCGCCATTTGCTGTTGGTTTGTGTATATATTAGCTCATGGTGCCCAGGTTTCTCGTAGTACCTGTGATTGTCTGGGGGTGGTTGTGGCCATACGTTCATACGTATAGTATAGATGGATTTTATCTAGCAGTTGTTGCCTAGAGGGGCAGATGCCTTGTTTCCAGTTAGTCGCAATAAGGTTCCTGGCCGCCAGTATGGTAAGTATTGCTACTTGTTTTAGTGGTTTGGGTAGGGGAGCGGGGAACAATAGGAATAAGCAAACTGATGGGGTGAGGGCAATATTCTCAACATTGAGAGATTTGAGGACGCTGCTCACATGTCGCCAAAGCGGGGTCAGTACAGGGCATTCCCACCAAATGTGTATCATTGTGCCTTCCGCGTTTTCACATCTCCAGTATTGTGCTGTGACTGTGGGGTAGATTTTATGCAACCTACTGGGTGTTAGGTACCACCTGAAAATCAGTTTTTTGTGAGCTTCTACGTGGGAGTAGCAGTTGGTGACCCCTTTAAGTGCATTAAGAGAATGTAACCATGCATCTCCCAATGGGGAAGAGGTATGTTCTGCTCACCATTGTTTTTCATAAGGAAAGGGTGCGGTGGTGGTGTTATATAGTAGTGAGGCGTAGCATAGAGATAGAGACTTAGGCTTGGTGGGCGCTTGCCAACATCTGTCATGTATGGTGTTTAGAGGGTGATGGTCGTAGGGTGCAACATCCGCTTGTGTGAGGATTTTATGGGCCGCAATACTTTTAAGTTGGAGGTATTGGAAAACGGAAGAGTTCGATAGTCCATATTTCTTTTGGAGGTCTGGGAAGGGCATGAGCTGTTGGCCGTGGTAAGTGTCTGCTATGTGTGTGATACCTTGTTTCTTCCAAGAGGTCCACGTCAATCCTGGGGCTAGGGAACTTAGGGCCGCTAGTGGGGCTCTCGGATGAAATTTGTTAGCTGTGATCTTAGAGTGGTGTAGGGTGTCCCATTGGTTCAACGTGAGGACTGAGGTGTGGAACAGGTGGGGTGTGCGTGGTCGGAAGTGCGGGGGCGTCCATAGAATCGGTATCAGGGAACCACCAGGTGCGGTGGCGTGCTCCATATCTACCCATTGGAAGGTTCCTTTTGCGGCGTGGAGTTTAATTGCCGCCTCTAGGAGTGATGCTCTGTGGTATTTAGCTACATCTGGGAGGCCTAGGCCTCCGTGTTGTGGGTTTTGCTGGAGGAGTGAAAGAGCTAGTCGTGGTCTGCGTGCTTCCCACACAAAGGAGGAAATTATGGCCTGGAGGTGTTTGTAGAACCTTGGGCTAGCGTTGATAGGTAACATTCTGAATTTGTATAATAGTTTAGGGAGTAGCATCATCTTAACTGAGTTTATCCTACCTAGCCAGGAGAGTTTCACATTCTTCCATTGGTGGGTGTGTGTTGTGCAGAGTGATATTAAAGGTTTAAAGTTTAGTTCAAACATTGTAGAGGGGGACGGCCCGAGTTTTACCCCTAGGTAGGTAATATCATTAGTTCTCCAATTGAAGGGGAAGGCTTGTTTGAGTTGTGACTGTAATGCATTCGGGAGGTTGATTGGGAGGGCTTGTGTTTTGCTCTGATTAAGTTTGTAGTATGATAGTTGTCCAAATTGTTGTAGTAGTTGTAGTAGTGCTGGTACTGATTTTTCGGGTTTTTCTACAGTGAGCAGAATATCATCCGCAAACATAGAGAGACAGTACGTGTGGTTCTTTATGGGTATACCTGTAATTGAGTCGTGGTGCCTGATTTTAGATGCTAAGGGTTCTAGTGATAGGATAAAGAGGAGCGGTGACAAGGGACAACCTTGTCTGGTGCCATTGGTGATACGGAAGGGTTTGGATAGGAAGCCTGAGTTGGATACCTTTGCTTGTGGATCATTGTAAAGGGCCATAATGCCAGTGATGAGGCTTTCTGGGAAACCAAATTTGCTTAGGACTTGTTGCATATATATCCAATTGACCCTATCGAAGGCTTTTTCGGCATCAACGGCTAAGATTAGGCCCTTTGTTTGGGACTTGTGCATATGTGATAGTATATTTAGAATTTTTCGTGTGTTGTCAGAGCCTTGCCTACCTTTGATGAACCCAGACTGGTCATTGTGGATAAGTGTGGGCAGAATTCGGGATAGCCTATTAGCCAGGAGTTTGGCGTACATTTTGACATCAGCATTAATAAGGGAGATCGGCCTAAAGTTCTGGCAATGTGTTGGCGGTTTACCTGGTTTGGGGAGTGTCGATATATGGGCTACCAGCATGTCTTTGGGTATTTGCCCTGAGGTGTAACAGGAGTTGAATAGGTTAGTCATGTGGGGTGCGAGAAGGTTGGCGTAGGTTTGGTAGTATAAATTGGAGAAACCATCAGGTCCTGGGGCCTTCTGTTTGGGAAGGTCGTGGATGATCTCTTCCACTTCACTTACTGTGAAGGGGGAGGTGAGAGTCGCGATATCATCGTTTTGTAGTTTAGTAACATCTATGGATTGTAGAAACTCTCTAATAGATTGGGGGGAGGGAGGCATTGTTTGTGGGTCATCTTTAAGATTATAGAGGGAGCTATAGTAGGATGCGAATTCGTTTACTATGTCTTGGGGGTTGGTTATTTTGCTATCTTTGGAATTCTGTATATGCGCTATCTTTGAGGTGTACGACCTAGTTTTGAGTTGCGTGGCTAGTAGGGCCCCAGCTTTGTTTCCAGTGGCAAAGAATCTATGTTTGTATCTCTGCAATAGGTAGGTAGTTTTCTCTAGTTCTAACTGTTGAAGATCTTTATGTAGTGCATTTAATTGTATGTGTGTGTCCTTAGAGGGTTGTAATTTATTTTTGTGCGTGAGATCTGCGATGTCTTGTATGAGTTTTGTAAAGTGTAGTTTGCGTTGTTTGTGTTGGTAACTAGCTATTCTAATAATCGTGCCTCTAATGACTGCCTTGTGTGCTTGCCATAATGTCTCTATACTTGTGTCTTCTAATGCATTTTCTCTGAAATATGTTTCTATGCCGCTCTGTATGTTGGCTGCTGTGTCTTGGTTTGCAAGCAAGGTGTCGTTCAGTCTCCAGGTGCCTTTTCCTTTGGCTGTGTATTGTTCTTGGATGGTTAGTGTTATAGGGGCGTGGTCTGACCATGTTATTAGGCCTATTTCTGCTGACTGAATTTTGTCTATGTAATTAGTATGTATCAAGAATCTGTCTATCCTAGTGTATGTATTGTGTACTGCAGAGTGGAATGTGTAGTCCCTATCTGTGGGGTGAAATATCCGCCATGGGTCTATAAAGTCGTGTGAGCGGATGGTGTGGGCAATCTTAGAGGTGAGGGTTGTTAATTGTTTGGTCGTTTTCGCAGGGGTTGAATGGCATGCTGATGTGTCTATGGAGGCATTCAGCAGGAAGTTGGTGTCGCCTCCAATTATGGTATCACCGAAACTGTATAATGTGAGTAAGCTAAATATTTTAATTATAAACTCATGTTGGTTGTCATTTGGTCCATAAATGTTGACCAATGTATATGGGCTGTTATTGATATAACATTGAATGATTAGGTATCTACCATGTTTGTCGCCAATTTTTTTCACCAGGGTGAAGGATGCGTCCTTGCTTATGAGAGTGGTTACTCCTCTTTTTTTTGATTTGTAGCATGAGTGAAAATCATGGGGGTAGAGGGCGGAGTTGAATTTGGGTCTATTCCCCCACTTAAAGTGGGTTTCCTGATAGAAAGCTATTTGGGCTTTCGATTTTTTGGCTTCTTCCAGTGCTAGTCTTCGTTTGTGGGGTGTGTTCAGACCTTTTACGTTTAGTGATACAATTGTGAGGGTCATTTTATAGGTTTTTGGAAGTCTGCTACGTAGGTCATTGTGCCATTTATTTTACTGCTCCCTTTCCCATCTAACTTATAGATGAGCATTACGTTGCGCTTAATAGGTTGTGTGGTGGGGTTTGTCGGGTATGGCCATATTATGCTGTGGTGAAAATGGCCCGAGCTCGAAAAAGTGACGCTGTCTGTGCAGGTAGAGGCGTTGTGGGTTTTGATTGCATACAGCATCAGTGGCGTGTGCTTGTGGAGCGTCATGGGTAGGTGGTAGGTTGTGGTAGGGTGTGACACTTGTGACACAGTGTAAACATACCAAAACATAGACATGATAAACAATATAACAGTTTGAACTATATACAGAGTGCCGTCGGGGGTGGTACTGAGAGGTACAAACGGCATAGTGGAGGCCATTGTTGGCCTGGTGGGGGTCGTAGTGGTGACCTGCGTGAGACTCTAGGTGCGGGTGTAGAGATTCTGTGTAACGTGAATAAATCTCTTGTGTGCGCTACCCTTGAGTGGTCCTGGGAAAGTGTCTAGTTGTGTGTTAGGGGGTTAGTGAAACGTTGCCCCTAACTAGTTACAGTAGAATAGAGGTGTAACTTAGGTCGGGTTACACTTGGAGTAACCCATGTGTATAGGATTGGCAACAAGCCGTACTAACTGGTCATGCATTGTGCTGCAAAGTCACTTAGCTGTATTCCAGTCTCTGGATATTTGTGCAGGAGAGCGTCTCGGTGGATTTTGCACCTCGTCGTTGGGTGGTGTCGGTTGAGGTATATTCCATTCCTTGAGCATACGGAGGCCTTCCTCAACTGTGAGGATGTGCTTTTCGACGCCATTCCGTCTAAGCATGAGCCGGGCTGGAAAACCCCATCTGTAGACAATATTAGCATTTCTTAACGCTGTGGTGATGGGCGCTAATGATTTCCTTTTGAGGAGGGTTGCCGCAGATAGATCCGTGAAAATCTTTATCTTCGCATATTTTCCTGGCAGTTCAGGAAGGAGTCTTGAGGCCCTCATGATTTTGTCCTTGGACGTGAAATAGTGGAAGTTAGCGATAGTGTCGCGTGGAAGGGACGTCGGCAGGTTCTTAGGCCTTGGTAGGCGGTGAATCCTGTCTAGGAGGAGTTCAGGTGGTGACAGTTCTGGGGACAGAGCTTGAAAGAGGTCTGTTGCAAAGTTTGACAGGTCTTGTGGGGGTACGTCTTCATGCGCAAGTCCTCTCCAGGCACAAGTGGAGAGGTTACTTTCACCACAACATATAACTATACAATCTGGATTATACACTAAATTATCACTTGCTGGTCAAGCAGAATGGTTCTGATGAAGATCACCTAAACATTAAACCGAGATACACTCGTGTACATGTATGTGTGTCTATGTATATGTGTGTATATACAAGTCATTTTTTTTTTTAGTATGCTTGATTTCAAACAATTATTCTCGCAAATATGTGTAGGGAAATGCCAATATATAGGAATGTCTTTTTATGTTTAATATTTTTAGTTTGCTTAATATTATGATTTTCGTTATTGCTACTCATACATGTAAGTGAGACATTGAAGTATCTATATGTATGTGTGGGTACGTGTGTACATGAATACATTAGTGTGTGTGTATACATGTATGCGTGGGTATGTGTGTACGTGAATACATTAGCGTGTGTGTATACATGTATGCGTGGGTACGTGTGTACGTGAATACATTAGTGTGTGTATATACATGTATGCGTGGGTACGTGTGTACGTGAATACATTAGCGTGTGTGTATACATGTATGTGTGGGTACGTGTGTACGTGAATACATTAGCGTGTGTGTATACATGTATGCGTGGGTACGTGTGTACGTGAATACATTAGCGTGTGTGTATACATGTATGTGTGGGTACGTGTGTACGTGAATACATTAGCGTGTGTGTATACATGTATGCGTGGGTACGTGTGTACGTGAATACATTAGCGTGTGTGTATACATGTATGCGTGGGTACGTGTGTACGTGAATACATTAGCGTGTGTGTATACATGTATGTGTGGGTACGTGTGTACGTGAATACATTAGCGTGTGTGTATACATGTATGTGTGGGTACGTGTGTACGTGAATACATTAGCGTGTGTGTATACATGTATGCGTGTGTACGTGAATACATTAGTGTGTGTGTATACATGTATGCGTGGGTACGTGTGTATGTGAATACATTAGTGTGTGTATACATGTATGCGTGTGTACGTGCATA